TCGGACTCGGTTCGATGGCTCTAGAACCTCTCGGTGTAGATTTGACTGGTGTCGGACCCTCAGCGTCGGACCGGGGTTCGATGAGGTGTCGAACAGGTCGAGCGCACTATTCCTCAGCACGGGGTTTGGCGAGGCGCTCGCTGGCACGATGCGTGGCAGTGTCAGTCTGATGGCTGTGTCCAACGTAGGGCATCAGACTCGAGTCCGACGGTTTTTACCGTCTCTGGACCTTTCTGGACCGCGTTGGACCCTCCCTGTGTGGAGTCCGACGGTGCATCCGAGGCGTGGGTCTGATGGCTCTTTCAACGCGTGGCAGTGGACCGTTAGCGGCAACGGTCACTTTGATTTGAATGAGGTGACGTGGCAACACGTGGTTGGCCGCGGTAGGCGTCAGACCCAGGCGTTGGATGGTCCGACGCCCCGTGTCTGCGGGTCTGACGATCACTTAAGTGGCCTAACGGTCACTAGCTCTTGGGGGTGTCTATTTAAGTGAAAGGGCTGGCCTTGGGCGCCCTCTCTTTGCCCTTTAACATATTTCTCGTGCCTTAGAGCTGAGCCACTCCTCTCCATCCACTCATACTTGATTGATTCATCATTTGGTGAGATTGGAGAGCATCAAAGTGCATTGCTTGAGTGATTACATCTAGAGACACTTGATGATTGTGTTTTGCTGCGGGATTCGCTTGTTTCTCTTGGTGGTTGCCGTCACCTAGACGGCTTGGTGCAGCGAGGATCATCGAGCGGAGGAAAGTGCTTGTCTCCGGCTCCGATCGTGGTGATTGTGAGGGGTTCTTAACCTTTTCTCGGTGGAGAGCCAAAAAATACTCTAGTGGATTGCTCGTGGCTTGTGTGATCCTCATCTTGTGTTGGTTGTGCGGCACCCAATTGCGGGTTAGTCACGTGATGCCTATAAGCGCGTGAACCTCCAAGTGAGTGAATCGCCACAACGGGGACTAGCTTGCCGGCAAGCAAGTGAACCTCGGTGAAAAAATCATTGTGCCATCTTGTCCCGAGGATTTCTTGGTATTCATTGTGATTGATTGACTTCATCTTGTGATTGGCTCATTCTTCGACACGGCGGTATAACTCACTATCCTTCTCGTGTATTTACATTTCTCGGTGTAGCTAAGCTCTTTAGTGTAATTAGTTTTGAGAGCTAGCTTGTGTCTTATCTAGTGGTTAGTAAGACTCTTTAGTTAATCTTTGAGAGTTCGCTAACTTAGTGTAGTGACATAGTCTTTGTGCCTAGAGACTATAGAAACTAGAATTGTGGTAGATGACTTGTATTTTAGTAGGTTAGCGCAACATTCGTTTCGCCTCATAAGTGTCTAACCGCTTTGCTTAGTGTTGTTGTAGAAAATTTTATAGACTATTCATCCCCTCTAGCCATTAGGACCTTTCAACGGAGGCGGGGTACGCGTGCGGGGCGGGACGAGGCAGACGGGAAAGGACTACGGTGATATGATGAGAGTGCGGTGCGTTTCTGATGGGATATTCGGTATCGTCCGACAAAATCCTATCCCATCAGACGTCTTAACGCCAACAATTCCCTTTCTTAAAAAAAAACTCATACGCGGCTCAAGGCCTTGGAAACATTTTGTCTCTGCTGCTTATAGTTGCATATGTATATACCGACGAAACAGCAGACATCTACTGATGTACATGCAAACGTGAACCGGGACCGGGACAGCGATCTTGCTGGTTTTGCTGAAAGTGAAGGATGGAAGAAACATAGAGCAGACTGCTTAAATTTGGCCGCAACAAGGGCGCGTTCCCAGCTTGGCTTTGGTTTTCCAACTTTGGCTTGCTCCCCAGCATGACCACGCCCCTCTCTCCTCGACGCTGGCAGCCAATCGTGCGCGCGCCTGTGCCGGCCGGGGGAGGGGCTGGGCTGGCCATGGACGCGCGCACAAGGCACGCAGCAACACAAAAGTTCCAAGGCCTCCCCTTCCTGTAGCAGTCGCGAGGCGGAGCGGAAGGCAGGCCGGTGTCCTGCCCTGCCTGCCTTGCGTGCGCGCCCTCAGCCCCTCACGACCCATCCCGTCGTCCGTCGAGCGCCGGCGGGCAGCCATGCACGCGCCCAGCTAGCTCATCACACATCAGCGTCGTCTCGATCTTGACCTGCTGCTCGCCTCGATCGCCTGCTCCCGGCCCGCGTCCACATCGTCAGCGCGCTCCCGTGAGCGGGCGCGCGCGTGCACGGATTCTCTTCGCATGACCCTGTGATGGTCGGTGGGTTCCTGCGGCGTGGCCGCAGCCTCGACAGGTTCCTGTCTTGGAGGCGGCGGGCCGTCTCGCCCTGCCCCTCGTTCTCGTCGTCGTCTCCGCGTGGCAGCAGCGTCAGTAGCGGGATGTCGGAGGACGACGACGATGCGGCCACCACCACGGCGCTGCTGCCGCCACCGCCGCTGCAGAAACGGGTGTTGTCCAGGAGCCACGGCTCGCGGTCCGCCACTCCCGCCCGGTCCCAGGAGCTGCCGCCGGTGCCATCGAAAACCGTCCGCGATAGTGGACCGCCTTCAGGTGACGTGACGTGATGTGATCACCGTTACTGCATGCTAACCATCTTCAATTCTCTTGCGATAACATCTGTGTTGTGTTGGGATTGGCTGCGCTGCGCTGCAGAGTTGGATTTGATGAAGGAGAAATTCGCCAAGCTGCTGCTTGGGGAGGATATGTCCGGCACGGGCAAAGGGGTGTCCTCCGCTCTCGCTCTCTCCAATGCCATCACAAATCTTGCAGCCTCCATATTCGGCGAACAGCGCCGCCTGGAACCCATGTCTGCGGAGCGGAGAGCGCGATGGAACAGGGAGATCGACTGGCTCCTCTCTGTCGCCGACCACATCGTCGAATTCGCCCCCTCGCAACAAGTATCCGAGGATGGAACAAACATCGAGGTCAGCAACGAAATTGTGACGCCGCTAATTTCGGCCAATTTCACCCTGCGATTGCACTTGTGACATGTACGCTGCATCTCTTCCTTATTGGATCTGCAATCAGGTGATGGGCACTCAGCAGCGCGGGGATCTACTTGTCAACATCGCCGCCTTGCGAAAACTCGACGCCATGCTCCTCGTTAGCATGATCTTTCTTTCGAGTTCATCCAATCAAATATACATATGCAACGGCGTTATTTTTTTTTCTCTGAATTCAACTTTGTTTCTTTCTTCCCTTCCATGGAACAGGAGTATCTTGACAGTTTCGGTGAGGCCCAGGAGTTCTGGTACGTGGCGAAAGACGCAGAAGGGGGCGAGGACGACGACGGCACGTGCACGTGCGACAAATGGTGGATCCCGACGGTGAGGGTCCCCGCCGAGGGCCTGTCGGAGGCGTCCAGGAAGTGGCTTCAGCACCAGAAGGACCTCGTAGGGCAAGTGCTCAAGGCGGCCATGGCCATCAACGCCGATGTCCTCGGAGAGATGGAGATCCCCGAGGAGTTCATCGAGTCCCTGCCAAAGGTCCTTTTCCTTTCAACAAGAACGAGGCTGCTAAAAATTCACTAGATAATAAAAAAAAACTAGTAGTCTCTTTCTTGAAAATTATGCTACTACTCATGCGTGTTGCAGAATGGAAGGTCCATTCTTGGAGACTCGATATACAAAATCATAACCGACGACATTTTCGACCCCAACGAGCTCCTGCAGTCCGTAGACCTGTCGACAGAGCACAAGATCGTGGATCTCAAGGACCGGATCGAGGCCTCCGTCGTCATCTGGCACAGGAAGATCTGTCACAAGCTCTCGTGGGCCCATGCTGGCGTCGGCTTGGAGAAGCGGGAGGAGTTCGAAGAGCGGGCGCAGACTGCCCTGCTCATCCTCATGCACAGGTTCCCCGGCATCCCTCAATCGTCGCTCGAGATTAGCAAGATCCAGTACAACACGGTACCGAAATAAAGAGCCTCAGTTTCCCAGCTCCGATCCTTTCCAGATTTCTGTCCATGGAGTCATGAACTGAATCGATGTGCTGCTTTTTTTTTTTCGTTTCAGGATGTTGGGTATGCCCTCTTGGAGAGCTACTCCAGGACACTCGAGAGCCTAGCTTTTGCAGTTCTGTCTCGGATCGAAGACGTTCTCCACGCCGACGCCGTGGCCTGCGATCCCAACAAGCGGACCAAGTCTAGGAGACGGCCTAGTCTAGAGTCTCCTGTTCCTGACGACGCCACCGCTGAAGCGCATCACGGCAGCTGCGTGCATTGGCAAGATCAAGACGTTGAGGACGGCGAGAAGCATCCGCCGGATGGTAACGGTAGGAAGCTGAAGAAGATTCACAGGGTGGTGACGAAGAAGTTCCTTCACACACAACAGATCGACATTGTTGCCAGTGGGTTGAAGAGCTTCACACACAGATAGCAGCGGTGCTGTACGTGAGTGAGGTTTGAGATGGCCGACCAGTTTTGCGTGCATGGACGTTGCCCGTACTATTCGGAAACAAACACGTAAATAGTTCAAGTTTTTTATATACAAAAATAGGACCACGGGATGTGGGGCTTGGCCGAGGGATGACAGCATGCGTTCCTGTCCAAATTTACTCTGAACACCTACTACAGAAATTGTTGCACGGCGAGCATATAACCCGTCAGCTCCGTCGCTGCCATTGCCACGCAACCTCACGCCGCCACTGGATGGCCGCTCGTGTTTGACTTTAGAGAGGGGTGCACAAAGCAGCATTGCATAATGGTCGTTGCCACGCATCCTCACGCCATTGCCATGGCCGCTCGTGTTTGACATTTGAGAGTGCGCAAAGCTGCACTGCATAATGACAGCAAATGGCACTAAAATACTTGTCGTTCTCTCAGGATCAACTTTGTGTCACGACGAATCAAAAGTTACTCGAATCTGGCGAATATAACCGTACAAATACCAAATTGTGCAGGACTCAACGACGACGGTTTCATATACTACGTGGAACTGATCTTGCCCGACGACAAGTTATTCAAGATGAGTTCAAACTATGACGTCCACAACATTGGCATTGGCGAGCTTTTAGAACAGATCAAACTCCTAGAGGGCTTTCAGGATCTCCTCAGCACCAGAGATTGTGAACTGTCCACCTTCCTCGATGTTTGCGACAGTGACCTTGAGGTCATCAGCCAGAAGAGCAAACCTTTTTGAGCGTACGCCCAGTCCTTTCTCTGTAAGATCAAGCTCAAGATCAAGTGCCTTGGTGTATGATCCAGATCCGTCAGCAAGGAACTTCACATGTTTGTTCTCAGGGTAAGTCTTTGCCCATGCCTTCATGACAAATGGGTCGTTAACTGCATATCACAAAGCAGCAAATCATGTCAGTCTGGCCTAGCTACTTTTGATCAAAGTCATAAGCACAACATGGCAAATTGATGGAATTCAGTCGGTGTAATAGGAAGGGGGTACAACAGATTTACAGTTACTAAATATGATCAATGCTACATGCTAGCCTCCTGGCAGCAATTATTCACAGATGCACCATAATATGAAACATAGCAGATCATCACTTAGCATTTTGCTTTTTATTTAAGTTTCAAACATTCAGTGACGGAAAAAATTTGCATGACAACACTGATAACATTACAGCAGAGGTACCATACAGCTAGGCAAAGAACATTAAGAACACAGTATCTGAAAGAACAATATAAGTTTGAGCGCACTGCTTCATATTCAGCTCAGGATGTTTGCAATGAAAAAATTATCAAAACAACTGTCTTTGCAAATACAGATAGGCAAATATATGTTGGAAACATACCGCTGATAAGCAGGATCTCGTCTACACCCTTGGCTTTGAGCTGCTCAGCCTGTGTAATGAAGCCTGGCACATGCTGGTTGCTATGAACATAGAAGAAATGCACAGAACAGAGAGCCTGAGTACTTCAGCTTTTCACAAAATAATATAAGGATTTCAGAGATACAAGAGCAATAGAACTCTTGGCTTCAGTTAGTGGAATTACCTTCAATGCAAATCTTTTTATAATTTAACCAATTTGCAATTTTCCATTGAACTTCTCAAATTAAAGCAGCTAACCAATTTTACAATACTAATAAGCACTAACACAGACTAGCCGTGATTCGTAAATAATCAAACAAAAGATAATACCTTTTGTTCGCACTAAACTGAAATCATGAGTTATAGTTAGACTAGATAAAATTCAGTAGTTACAAGAGGGAAGCTACCATGCATGAAAAATTCATGGGTTGTAGTTAGACTAGATAAAATTCAGTAGTTACAAGAGGAATGCTACCATGCATGAAAAATATACTGGCATGTAGTGATGTTATTCAATTTCCTTCTGTAAAGGGACAATTAATCAAGGAGGACCTGCCTACAGCCCTACACCATCACAATCCATTCACTGTGGGAGGGGGCCATAGTTGCACCGCAGTTGCTGATCCTTCTTAAGGACCAGTATACATGCAGAAGGTTCTCACGACACATTATCTTCCCAAAAGTTGTGGGATGGGTGCTGCTTGAAGGCCCAGATCTCAACAAGGTAGTCCTTATTCAAGCTGCATGCACCGTTGGGTGAACTCAATAGACCCCCTCCCTCCCCTGGAAGACCGTGGTGACCTTGCTGACCCAACGTTGACAGGCTCCGCTCCTTACTGCCATCAATGCACCTGACGCTGACTAGGAGGAGGAACCGGTTCTGCTACACTTCAAGGCCAGACTATTTCACGATCCTCTCAGCGCGCAAGCATGGTTGCTCTTCTCTGCCGGATACCGCCTGCAGCAGATGTGCTGTCGATCTGGCATGGCTAAGACCGGGGGTTTGTCCCTAAAACTTCTAGTAAAAAAAAACTGCTGTCGATCTGTTGCTCAAAACTAAATCGCTAGTTTTGAATCCGAATTGGAACTAGTTCCAAAAGAACCCAGATAATCCCCCTCCGCCCCGACGAGACCTAGAAAGACCTCTCTCCCCAAAAACACAAACACAGGGCCAAAAAGCTCGGAGATCTCCGAGAAAGTGGGAGGAAGAGACGGGCACGGGAAAAGGGCGTAGGGACCTGCAGGTCGGCGTGAAGGCGCCGGGGACGCCGAAGACGATGACCTTCTTGCCGGCGGCGAGCGCGTGGACGGAGACCTGCTGCAGCTGGTCGTTCTCGTCGAACCACCCGAGCTGGCCGTCGGGGAGGGAGTCGCCGACAGCGATCGGAGCCATGGCCGTGCAGAAGGGGTAGGGTGCGGGGCAGCGCGGCGAGGAGGAAGCGCAGGCGAGTGAATGGGGACTTGATTGCGGGTAGTGGTGGGTGGCCGATGGCCTCGCCTGGAGGTTGGATGGAGTATTTGTTGGAGGCGCCTGGTGGGTGGGGGCGCTGCGTAGCAGACCCCCGTGTGAACGCAATGATTTTGGCGGATATGCCGGTATGCCGCGAAGCGAGCAGGTCGGGGGCCGGCCGCCCGGGGAAATTGGGCTCATTTTTCTATGGAGCACTAGACGGTGGTTCGTGATAGCCGCCGGCTGAGGCGTTTGGTTCTTTAGTTTTTTCTAAAATTCATATTACATCGAATATTTAGATATTAATAAAGAGTATTAAATATAGATTAATTATAAAACCAATTATATAGATGGAGGTTAATTTGCCTCTCTCCCAGAAAACATTTTTAAGTCTAATTAATCATCATTAGCACATGGGAGGAAGAGACGGGCACCACGTTGTCAAATCATAGGTCTAATTAGGCGCTTAAAACGATTCGACGATGAAATTAGCCGGCGGCGAGTTGTGTAATTGGTTTCTCGTCGTAATTAGCTGGCCGTATTTAATACTCGCCGTGCATCGGAGTTTAAACATTCAGATGGGATATGAATTTTAGGGCAGCGCGGCGAGGAGAGAAACGCAAATGAGTGAATGGGGACTTAGGTTGTGTTTGTGGTGGGCTCTTTATGGCCCCGCCTCCTTCTCAAAATTCCTGTAGCAATGGTGGGTGGGGGCACTATAGCGTGGAGCCGATTTTGGCGGAAAAATGGTATGCCGAGAAGAGGAGAAGCGGGGGAGCCACGATTTGGAGCTTCTCCGGCTCCTCTACTAGGAGCACATCTACGGTGGTTCATGAGCGGAGCCCCTAAACTTCCGAATAGAAATACTCCATGTCTTAGTTTGCATCGCCGTTGGCTCACATACACACAACACGCAGAATCCACGACTACTTCTTTGCTGACCTCCAATAGCACCGGTCCCACTACCTCTCCTTCTCCATATTTGACAGGCTTAGAAGGGATTTGGGGGAGACAGGTTGGCCATACAGTGGGGATAGCGGGAGGCGGTCCCACTACTAGGGTTCCTCCGTCTCCAACGTTAGAAGGCCAGGCGACTATCTGAATGGGGATAGCGGCGTTCATGGCCATGGCGCTGGCCGGAGGGGGGAGGGGAAGGAGGAGGTCGCCGCGGGCGGTAGGGTCTTGACGGGGCTCCGCGCCTGTGGAGCTACGGCGAGACCTACCGCGCCACGGCGGGTTGGTGGGCGATGGCGGCGTGTTGGGCTCCAGGAAGAAGAAGAGGTGGGGTTTAGGATGAGAGCTGGAAGCTGTTAGATGATCAGATTAATGGTAAACATTTTGAGTATTTTAGGCCTCAAAACACAAGAGTTCTTTCTAGACAAAAAAATGTCTCACTACGTTGGTGTCGAAAACAGCCAGACGAGACCTCTCAATGAGACCATGAGCGCACGCACACGCCCATGCCTCCGTGGTCAACGCATTCAAGGCATGCAGGTACTGTGCAAAGCGGCCTGCTGGGAACGGCCGTCACGGTCGCCGATCACGGCGGGCCGACCTACTTTTCTTGCTCAAGTTGAAATACCCCATGTGTACTGTGCTTGTACTCCATTCTCTTGAATGGTGGAGTTTGAGATTGATACACTCCCCTGCATGCTATTCCTTGAATCCTCGTGTCATATCTAGATCCCGGCTATCATGGGTGTTACTGTATGGTGTTGGACGAAGAAAGGATTCATGACAGCTATTCTAAGAGCATTTCTCGATGAAGTGGCAACGGTGCTATCAATACACCTTTTTGAATTACTGAGATGTTTTTTCCCGATCACCAATAACATATGGACCTTACTTAATGGGGAAACTTATGTTTTCTCCCAATACAATTAGGAGATAAAAAATTCTCTCCTACTGTGAATGTTCATTAACAGATACATCAGAGAAAACAAAATGATAATATGTTGGGGGAGTTATGGTTGTTTATGGTAAAATCTTTTGCTTCAATACTCACAACAACGATAGATTTTTTTAGAAAAAAAAAAGATCTACTAGAGTTGCTATATATCACCTAGAGAACAGAAAGCGTCTCTCCTACTGCTAGTACATCGGGGGAAACAAAGTGATAATGCGAAAAAGGACCAGAAAAATAAAATCGTCGGCAGCAGTATTCGAACCTGCGCAGGCTGGCTGTGTTTGATGCGGCTCCACAGTGCTCCGGCTCTGCTCCGGCTCTGTAACTGTGGCACTACTGTAGCGGAGCCCGGAGGAGCCACCCAACTGCAGCTTCTCTGGCTTGTTTCTGAGGTCTGCCGGAGCCGGAGCTCTTTCTCCTGATATACAGTGCACAACAATGATCTAAAGATATGATTCTAGAAAAGCCAGAGAAAAACAAGTCAGCCAGCCCATATTTGGCACAAAACGTCGGCTTTTGAAAACTAGCGCACGATCGGCCCCATCATCCCACACAAAGTTGTAGCGAGCCGCGGTCAATTTTCAAAAAACCCTTCTACTTTTCGAAATCAACCCACATCCGTCAATTGTCCTCAATATTTTGCAAGAAACTCCTCATATTTTTTCAAATCAACCCGCAGTCCGGCGGATGGATTCCGGGGTTTTTGCAAAAAATTGACTTACCTTTTCGAAAATTAGAACATGTTGCTCCAGAAACCCTCTCACCATTTTTTTCATAAGCGAAAATCTCCTCGGATTTTTCTCAAATCAACATTGATCTGGGAACTTTGATTATATGGCTTTTTTTTCAAAAAAAAACTTTGACTTGAAAAACGCGCAAGATTTCAACTCGAAAAGACTAGTACTAAAAGACTCGAGCGCGAGCCAAGCTTGCACGAGCGTTGAATGCGATGCATCAGCCCATGCAGGATTTACGAGTCAGCGTGGGATCCTTAACCACTTTTGACATATCGACTAGTTGTAGAGGTTGAGATGAAGGATGATCACTTTATCTCGGTACATGAAAATATATATTTTTGTCTCTGATTAGGAAGGACGGATCATATCATTGTAAAACATACCGATTCTATCCTACAAGAAAACAAGAAGGAGGAATCCTAATCCTAGAACCATTTGTATATGAGCTCTTACCAAACTCTGTCTCCTTAATGACTCAGACATATCGAATAGTTGTGCTGAGACGAAGGATGATAATCACTAATATTTATAGGATAAAGAATAGTCTCCCTATCCCTTGTGTCTCGATGTGTACTACTTTGATCTACTATTTTGATCATGAGAAACAAAGAGATAAATCTTAATCCTACATGTTTTATATGTGTTATCTTACCGAAACTCTTTGACCTTCGATAGGACCGTATATATTTGATGCCGCGCTTTTACCGTCAACATCCCGCCGCGACTACTTCGATAAAGTCAACATCCCGACGTTTGTTATGTGTTCTAAACATATCTACTATTTTGATCATGAGATGGAGAGGGAAGGTCATGCCCATGCAATCGACATCGATAACACGTTATTCTACGACAATGCCAAAACATCATCTACTAACTACTAACCATTGCCACGGTATGAATTGAGCCAACGTGTCAACCATTGGAGCCGATCTAGTTTTCACCTAGAATCTGTACATGCAGTACATGTTTTTTTACAAGTAGTGCAAGCACACGAACTTGCATTGTAGTGCACGGCAGCTAATACCGTACACGCAAACAATCAGTTTTCTTCATCAACGACCAGCATGTCGCCACCTGCCTAGAAGTGCCCCGGCCTCGTCAACTCGCAGTTGACCTCCTATGGCAGAGAACCATATCTGGGCAAACAATACATAATTAAAACTGAACTACTAGCTAGAAGCTAATAGATCAAAATACTTGTTGATGTATATGGTACATATTTTTTATTTATCCATATATATTTATTGGTTACGCTGGCAGAAGGATGCAATACAGGTAGTACATTACGACTGTCAGCCACCAGCCACCGCCTAGTAGCAGGCAGCGCCAATCTGAATTATTGGCCTCTTGTAGTCTGGAAGACACGAAATATGGAACAACCATGTGAATGAAAAAAAATTGAATTACACATTACACATAGATGGGTTAACAATGAAGATTAATCTGGTCATTACATACATGTGCATTGATAAGCAAGCAAGCAAGCAATTTGAATACGAGTTCTGTGTGTGCCGATTGCCAAACAAATCCAGGAAATATTTTAATCTGAACAACACATTACATCTTACATCCTACACTATAGATAAGCAAAAAACAAGCAATGCACTGTTTTGAATATGGGTAGTGGGTGCCCCCCGCGCTGGATCCGCCCTCTTGAAGCACGGTAGATGGCCAGATGCTATCATCCTCGCAAGGAAGTTCCTGCATGTAGCTTGCCAGTTGCCACCGTGGACGCTGCCCCTGCATGATGGCCAACACGCTAATAGTGCACAGTGGTGCCTAGTCCGTTTTCCCGCCGTAGTTCCAGCATGAGCTCATTGGACGTCGCTCCGCCCGCATGCGGCTGTCGTCAGATTTTGGTTCTCGGCGCTACGGTCGGGGGCGGCTGGCTGCATGCTGGCTGTCGTCAGATTTTGGTTATCGGCGCTACGGTTTTCATCACGTAAATAAATCATTGAGCAGGCAACACCCATATTGAGCGGCACGACCCATATGCATGGGTTTTCGCACCATCGCCATGCTAGGCTTGCAGCCATGGCACGGACATTGAAGGTTGACCATCCCGAAGGCTACCGATCTATGTGCTGCAATCCTGTACATGAAGGGGATTAGGCTGAAATAATACTGAATTTTGGATTGTTTGCATATGGTGCCGTGGAAAACTCATATTTTTTCCTAGCAGAAAATTATGTGTAGGCAATTTAATAGTAAAAGCCTTCTATTTATTTTGCAGTATTTGATTTATGTTCATGTATCTATATCATGTGTTGATATTTTTATGCACTTTTGAATGCATTTAT